GCGCATCGTCCTCCCTGCAGACTGCGACCCCGGCGACATCCGCTCGGAGTACTGTGACGGCCAGCTTCGGATCGAGGTAGCCCGACGCCAGCCTGCCGATCGCAGCACCAGCGAGGACGACGAGCTGTCCGAGGAAGCCCGCCGGCTCAAAGAGACTTGTGCCAGCAAGCGCGCTCGAGTCGCCGAGCTGACGGAGGAGCTCCGCCGTGAGCGCCGGGACCTCGTCGGTCTGGAGAGCGAGCTCCGAGCAGCAAGAGAGGAAGCCCGCCGGAAGCGATCGACCCGCCGGACCCCCATCGCCATCCAGCATCCTACTACGACCGACCGTGCAGCTCTACAAGCACCCAAGGCAGACAGGACGGAGTAGGAAACGCTCTAGACTAGACACGAGCATGTAACTACGTAGAAGCTAGTAATGAACGCTTGATCTCGAGTACTTGCGCTTGACGACAAGATGTCTCCGGCTGCCTGACAGCCCTGGACCCCCTTCTTGTCGCTGACTCGAGGTATGAGGGAGGGCCCCCCTCTCTTCCTGTACCTCGCCCCCGCCACCTCCCTGCCCCTCCTTCCTCTCTCTGTGGCCTACACAAGCCCTGACTCTACAGCCTCTCGGTACGGCAGCCCGCCGCCGCTCCACCCATCGCCTGTCTGCACGGGTGCCCGCGCCGCTGCCGCTCAGACCCTCCTCACCTCACCTCGCCTCCTCCTTGAGCTCTCGCAGTCTACCAGGCAAGGTAGGGGAACGTGCCTTTATTGTACAACAACGTCTACAGATAGGTCTAGTCTCTACACGGCTCGCCTGCTAGGCTGTGTGCAGGCTGCAGGCCGCCTGAGGAGGGAGTCAGCGGCCCGTCTCTCAGCCTGGTTGCTAGAGCAGAGGGATCCTGTGCCGCGGAGGCGCCTGTAGCTCCTCCTCGGGTCGCTTGACGGACACTCGGAGGACTCCGTTGTCGTACTTGGCCTCGACCATGTCGGGCTTCGTGTGGGGAGGGAGGGAGACGCGCTTCTCAAACGCCGCATACGACGCTTGGACTCGCGCCGGCTCCTCCGACGTCTGCTTGGAGGACGAGCGGCCGGAGATGACTAGGGTCGGGGGGACGTCGCCTGTGGCCTCGAGGACCTCGACGGCGATGTCGTCCTTGGCGAGGCCCGGGGTAGCGGCGGTGACGAGGAGACGATCGGAGGTCGACTGGATGTCAAAGTGAGGCCGCAGCCGCATCACCGCCCCTCCTCCCTCCCCGTCCGAGGGGCTGGGGTCGTTGGTGACGGGACTCGCAGGCGGGTCGCGACAGGCCTCGTCCGGGAGGAGGAAGCCGCCGGTGACATCCATGACGGAGTCGAGCATGCGGTCCATCTCCTGCTCCAGCCGGCTCATCGTCGACAGGATCTGACGCGGGCTGCTAGGAAGCGACGCCGACAACGGTCGGTAGGGGTCCAGCATGAAGGCGCTCGGAGTGATGAGGAAGGCGGAGGACGAGGAGAGCATGATCAAGCCTAGGAGAGCAAGAAGAAGGATCGAGGGACGCGACAGAGGACAGGGCGCGCACGAGGACGAGCTACGCGGCATCATCGCAAGCTACTGGCTGAGGTCCGCAAGCTGTCGGGCGACTCGGATAGGAAGGCAAGGGGAGGATGGAAGGGAGGGGGGGGGAGGGGTGCTGGGAGGCTGGGTAGGGATGAGGGGTAGTACCGTAGACCAGCAAAACTGAGTCTAAAAATACACACAAACCTCCGTACAAACACTATTTTTAGAAACACCCTGTCACCCCGGTATTCTCGATCTTTCCACGTCCCCCCTCCTCCCTCTATATCTCCTCCCCATCTCCCGTCGACCCTCCCAACCCATCCCACACCCAACCCACTCTTTCTCTCTCTCGACACGACTCTCTGCTTCACTCCTGCTTACTGATCCCATGCTCTCCCTTCTCGCTGCCCGTCCTCTCGACATGCTCCTCGCTCCTACCCCTCGCTTGTCTTACCCCTCGGTCTCGCTCCTGTCTGACCTCGACTCGGTCTGGGACGACCTGCAGCCGTCCTGGTACGACCGCGTCTCAGCCTCCCGGCTTCTTGACACCGCTGCCATGCCTCGCATCGAGTCTCGCCCGGACAGGCACGTGGTGACCATGGACACGCCCGGAGTACCCGCGGGAGACCTCGCGCTGAGCCTGGTAGGCGACCGGACGCTAGAGCTGGTAGCCTCGTCGAGCATCTCACCCACCTCCGCGGCAGCTGACGCTCGTCTGGACGACGAGGCTGCTCAAGCCCCTGGTGCTCACCCCGACCGATCGTCCCTTCGCCTCCGCCAGCGCATCGTCCTCCCTGCAGACTGCGACCCCGGCGACATCCGCTCGGAGTACTGTGACGGCCAGCTTCGGATCGAGGTAGCCCGACGCCAGCCTGCCGATCGCAGCACCAGCGAGGACGACGAGCTGTCCGAGGAAGCCCGCCGGCTCAAAGAGACTTGTGCCAGCAAGCGCGCTCGAGTCGCCGAGCTGACGGAGGAGCTCCGCCGTGAGCGCCGGGACCTCGTCGGTCTGGAGAGCGAGCTCCGAGCAGCAAGAGAGGAAGCCCGCCGGAAGCGATCGACCCGCCGGACCCCCATCGCCATCCAGCATCCTACTACGACCGACCGTGCAGCTCTACAAGCACCCAAGGCAGACAGGACGGAGTAGGAAACGCTCTAGACTAGACACGAGCATGTAACTACGTAGAAGCTAGTAATGAACGCTTGATCTCGAGTACTTGCGCTTGACGACAAGATGTCTCCGGCTGCCTGACAGCCCTGGACCCCCTTCTTGTCGCTGACTCGAGGTATGAGGGAGGGCCCCCCTCTCTTCCTGTACCTCGCCCCCGCCACCTCCCTGCCCCTCCTTCCTCTCTCTGTGGCCTACACAAGCCCTGACTCTACAGCCTCTCGGTACGGCAGCCCGCCGCCGCTCCACCCATCGCCTGTCTGCACGGGTGCCCGCGCCGCTGCCGCTCAGACCCTCCTCACCTCACCTCGCCTCCTCCTTGAGCTCTCGCAGTCTACCCGGCAAGGTAGGGGAACGTGCCTTTATTGTACAACAACGTAGGGGAACGTGCCTTTATTGTACAACAACGTCTACAGATAGGTCTAGTCTCTACACGGCTCGCCTGCTAGGCTGTGTGCAGGCTGCAGGCCGCCTGAGGAGGGAGTCAGCGGCCCGTCTCTCAGCCTGGTTGCTAGAGCAGAGGGATCCTGTGCCGCGGAGGCGCCTTTAGCTCCTCCTCGGGTCGCTTGACGGACACTCGGAGGACTCCGTTGTCGTACTTGGCCTCGACCATGTCGGGCTTTGTGTGGGGAGGGAGGGAGACGCGCTTCTCAAACGCCGCATACGACGCTTGGACTCGCGCCGGCTCCTCCGACGTCTGCTTGGAGGACGAGCGGCCGGAGATGACTAGGGTCGGGGGGACGTCGCCTGTGGCCTCGAGGACCTCGACGGCGATGTCGTCCTTGGCGAGGCCCGGGGTAGCGGCGGTGACGAGGAGACGATCGGAGGTCGACTGGATGTCAAAGTGAGGCCGCAGCCGCATCACCGCCCCTCCTCCCTCCCCGTCCGAGGGGCTAGGGTCGTTGGTGACGGGACTCGCAGGCGGGTCGCGACAGGCCTCGTCCGGGAGGAGGAAGCCGCCGGTGACATCCATGACGGAGTCGAGCATGCGGTCCATCTCCTGCTCCAGCCGGCTCATCGTCGACAGGATCTGACGCGGGCTGCTAGGAAGCGACGCCGACAACGGTCGGTAGGGGTCCAGCATGAAGGCGCTCGGAGTGACGAGGAAGGCGGAGGACGAGGAGAGCATGATCAAGCCTAGGAGAGCAAGAAGAAGGATCGAGGGACGCGACAGAGGACAGGACGCGCACGAGGACGAGCTACGCGGCATCATCGCAAGCTACTGGCTGAGGTCCGCAAGCTGTCGGGCGACTCGGATAAGAAGGCAAGGGGAGGATGGAAGGAAGGAGGGGGGAGGGGTGCTGGGAGGCTGGGTAGGGATGAGGGGTAGTACCGTAGACCAGCAAAACTGAGTCTAAAAATACACACAAACCTCCGTACAAACACTATTTTTAGAAACACCCTGTCACCCCGGTATTCTCGATCTTTCCACGTCCCCCCTCCTCCCTCTATATCTCCTCCCCATCTCCCGTCGACCCTCCCAACCCATCCCACACCCAACCCACTCTTTCTCTCTCTCGACACGACTCTCTGCTTCACTCCTGCTTACTGATCCCATGCTCTCCCTTCTCGCTGCCCGTCCTCTCGACATGCTCCTCGCTCCTACCCCTCGCTTGTCTTACCCCTCGGTCTCGCTCCTGTCTGACCTCGACTCGGTCTGGGACGACCTGCAGCCGTCCTGGTACGACCGCGTCTCAGCCTCCCGGCTTCTTGACACCGCTGCCATGCCTCGTATCGAGTCTCGCCCGGACAGGCACGTGGTGACCATGGACACGCCCGGAGTACCCGCGGGAGACCTCGCGCTGAGCCTGGTAGGCGACCGGACGCTAGAGCTGGTAGCCTCGTCGAGCATCTCACCCACCTCCGCGGCAGCTGACGCTCGTCTGGACGACGAGGCTGCTCAAGCCCCTGGTGCTCACCCCGACCGATCGTCCCTTCGCCTCCGCCAGCGCATCGTCCTCCCTGCAGACTGCGACCCCGGCGACATCCGCTCGGAGTACTGTGACGGCCAGCTTCGGATCGAGGTAGCCCGACGCCAGCCTGCCGATCGCAGCACCAGCGAGGACGACGAGCTGTCCGAGGAAGCCCGCCGGCTCAAAGAGACTTGTGCCAGCAAGCGCGCTCGAGTCGCCGAGCTGACGGAGGAGCTCCGCCGTGAGCGCCGGGACCTCGTCGGTCTGGAGAGCGAGCTCCGAGCAGCAAGAGAGGAAGCCCGCCGGAAGCGATCGACCCGCCGGACCCCCATCGCCATCCAGCATCCTACTACGACCGACCGTGCAGCTCTACAAGCACCCAAGGCAGACAGGACGGAGTAGGAAACGCTCTAGACTAGACACGAGCATGTAACTACGTAGAAGCTAGTAATGAACGCTTGATCTCGAGTACTTGCGCTTGACGACGAGATGTCTCCGGCTGCCTGACAGCCCTGGACCCCTTTTTGTTTTCAACTTTGATCTGTCAAGAGACACATTACTTTCTTCCGCACAACAGGGTGTTCCTTCATTTCATCATCGAGGTTGAAGGTGGCTACGACGTAATCAATCTATATCAAGATCAAACGGACGGACAGCTGACAATGGCAAGGGTTCACTTTCTCAAGCTCTCGTATTTCTTGACTGCTCTTGAGGCTCTGGGGATTTGCAGGTGGGACAATCACGATAAGGATCGTTTTGTCGTGCATCCGGAGGATGGAGTGTAGTTCCGAATAGCCTCTGTCAAGGATGACAGGACACGTTAGTTAGTGATGGGTGGCGAGTATTGATTTCATTCGAGGATACGTTCGTTAGTGATGGGTGAGTATTGATTTCAATCGAGGATACGTTAGTTAGTGATTGGTGGCGAATGAAAATGCCAGAAACTGCTCAGATGGCTGAAGATGTAAAGGAAGCAGACCACTCGTATTGCGCGGTGAAACTGACTGTCATGCTCGCGTGCAAGGGGCATATGGATGATTTTACTCGCTTTGTGTGGGGAGGCAGGGAGGGGTCAAACAAAGGCTGCAGCTGCAGCGTGATGAACATGGGTATACGCCCACGTCTAAGTTGGGTTTATACAATATAGTTACAAGGAATGATACATAAGTTTTCACCAACGCTGAGAACTGATTTGTCAGTCATTTCAGGGTTTGTAAGTAGTAGGCTCTTGATGGTTGTTCTGAATCGCTGGGCGAGTTCAAGAAGGTTGTCATGTGGCTGAGTAGAATACGTCAAGCCCAGCAGAAGTCCATCTACTGCATGTGCTGGAATCTGATTCGGATCTTTGATCTCATCCGGCATTCGGTTCCCATTTAAAGCCCAAAGCAGGTACCAGTTGCTGCTCATTGCGAATCGCCTTATTATCTGTTAGAGAAGATTCAGAACGCACCCTGCCTTGCACACAACAAGCCTCCAATCACCTTTTCTAAAGTATCTCCGGGTTGTGTGCAATACTTACACTTCTCTACAAATATGGTAAAGGAAGTCGTGCTTGCAGAAGCATTTCCACGCATACACCCGATGCCAACCGAAAAGTTGGTGGCATTGTCCATAGCATAGACACAGAAGGAAACGTTTTTCCCTGAATCCGATCTGTTGGCATTCATTAATCAGCAACACAGACAAACAGGCAAATTTCTTGCAATTTACATTTGAGGTCTCCAGACAAAATCCGCTTGCACGAGGCAGCTGGCATTCTTTGAGTTGCAAGCTTCCTGATTGGTTTGGATGAACTCAGCGCCACTTGGCATTGGTTGTGAAAGTTTTAGTTTCATGGAGAGATTGTAATATGAGAAATTGACATCCATGTTCTGAACGAAAATTTGATTGGCTGTCACCCCCCCTGTTGAAATATTGATTTGCTGCTGCATCTTTGGAATTATGTTTGCTATGCGAAATGAGATGTTGATCGGGCAATTGATATAGAAGACGTGCAGCCCGAAATTTGCCCTGCTAGATTCATCCCATGACACCTGTACACTGAGATGAGCACATTCGCGTTCCCACTCCTTCCCCTACCTCTCCAGCGCTCTCAGGAACCAGAAAGAAAGCAAACATCATGGCAGGAAGACGGATGGTAGAAAGCGAGCAGGAGGACGTTGGAGCATGTCGACAGGCCCTCCCTCCCTCTTCCGCTCCCATCTTGGCCCTCGCCATGCTCCCAGGAGGTAGGGCCAGAGAGAGAATGGTAAACGAAAACAGTGGTGGTGGAGGGGAAATGTGGGGTGGTACTGGGAGCCGAAGGGGTGGTGGCCACCTGTTGCTGCCAATCGACACAGCAGAACCTCCTGAGAGACTTGACGACGCTAATTTAATTTGTGTTGCTTCCGACACACACCAGAGAATCACGCTGAGAAAGCTTCTGCTACAACTGATGCATAGTGCACACATGGAGATACAACGGGAAAGAAGTCGAACAATAGTGAAACAAAATATCTGAAGTTATGCATCTGATTTAGCATTGGCGCCAAACAGTCGTTGCGAGTAACCGGCGATTCTGGAGATCCTTCCTTGGAGCAGCACAAACTCATCGTTGGTGCCGGTCATCTGCTTCCTCATGTCTCGCACTCGATCAAGAACAGATGAATCCTGGAAGGGAGAGTGAAAGACTCAGTGGCAGCATTTCATCAGCAGCATCTCACGTAGTAGTTCAGGCCATGAGCTTTCGCCACCAGCTTTCTCTTCTCGTTCTTGCCTGCCATGGTCGGAGCAGAAGCTGCAGGCAGCACGGGAGATTCTGCCTTGACTGCAGCTTTGGTCCTTGCACCTGTAGGAGAGCCGGGGGGTTTGACGAGTGCGACTCGTTCTGGGCTCGGAAGTTTTTCTATCGGAGAGTTGGAGGGGCTGGATCCTCTCGAGTGCGAGGATGACACTTGTACCTTCACATGTGGGACCACAACGAATGAGTCTCGCTTCACTTCAGAGGACTTGGTGATGTACTTGAAGGGGCGTGCACCCTCCTAGGAATGAAACTGATCAACTCGTGGGGAAGAAGATTGGAAGAAGGTCAAGGTCATAGCAAGCCTTACCGCCCTCGAGGATGGAGACACTTGCTTCTCAATGATTTCTACTGGATGCACTTCGCTATAAACTTCACGAGGACTTGCAGGAAAGGCCTCGTCGTCAGAGAGACCTTCTGAGCTGTAGTCAGATTCTTCGCTCTCGTCCGAATCATCGGCTATCTGTTGAGCTCTAATCTCGCGGAGATACCATTGCATCCTCTCTTCATTGCTAAATTCCAAGACAGCCTTGCACAACAAAATGTAAGTGAATACAAGGAAACATTGTGGATATACTTCACAGAATTGCTTTCCAAACTTTTCGTAGTCAGCAGTTGTATAGTGCAGTCCATCATACTTTCCAAAGTTTCCACCCAGGAACGAAGCCTCAATGGTGTATGCAGCTCTTATCTGGAAATCCTTGAACAAGACGGACCTTCCAGTCCCCTCCCTTCCTTTCTTAAGGTCAAAGGTACACTGCTCGTACTTGAAGGCATCACACATCTTTGATAATATGTAAGGGAAGACTCTTTCATATCCGGTGGGAAGTCGATCCCTGGCAATATATTCCTTGGATGGAGTGCATCCATAAGAAAAAATGTTCTTCCTCCGGCTATGTGCATGAAGATCGACGGCTAAGAAAACCTCTTTGTGACTTCTGTGCTTGCTGAGATATTCTTTGAAGAGGTCGAGAGGCCGGTGCTTCTGATCTGGTTCATGCCAGTGCCGATTCAGATCATCTCCAAGAAGAGTTGTTCGAGTGTTTCCCGCGGTCACTCCGTCCGGATTCAGCATCGGAATGATGACGAACACAAACTTCTCACGTAGCTTCTTTGCTGCAGGGCTTGTTCCAACCAAGAACTCTATGACCCCTTTCATCATATAGCTAGATGGAGTTTCTCCTGGATGACACCGTGCAAGAATGAAGATCACTTTTCTGCTCTGCAATATTTCGTCCGGTGCTGTGGCTGAGATCTCAAGGGTGTAACAATCATTCCCTCCAGGTGACCTTCCAAGTTTGACCTTGTTGGTCATGCAAGAGGCATCCTTAGATTCCATCAATGCAGTCAAATCCTCACTCAGTTGATTGACCGTGTACGGATAGCAATGAGCAAAGTAAACAGTGTCGTCATCGTATTCTCCAACATAAGTGAAAGTCAATGTGCGGAAAGGAATTCGACTGTGCGAGCGATAGTATAATCCACTCTTGTAGTACGCTATCTCTTTGCAAGAGCGTTCCCACCCCAATTGCACTGACTTTGCATGGCATTCGCTATATCGTAGAGGTCGCAGCCCATAATTGTACAGACTCTTTGATTTGCACATGTTGACGATGTTAAACTTGTACGAGACACCTTTCTGCACATTAGATACCTGGAAGTAAAACCATTGCATATGCCGATTTGAGTTGGTATCTGGTTCTAGCTGAATGTCATACTCATACACGCCTACCTGTGTTACCCTGCGCAAGTTTCCACTTTCAAAGCTGCTTGAAAACCTTAGATGTTTCTCGAAGTACACATCGCCCTCCGGGTTCTGAGAGTTTGAAGCCTTTCTGTCAAATATTATCACGCGAGATTTCCCACTGATGAAGTCACTGTTCCGAAGCCTTTGCAGATCTCTCTCTTTCAACGACTTTAAGAACGACTCTGTGATTGAAGAATCCACTTGCTTCTCGAAAGGCGGGATTCTTTTAATGTGGCTGACGGAACATACATTCCTAGTTGAAATCTCAGTCAGCCAATCAATGAGATCAATCGCTTCATCGTGATGTGACTTGAAACTTCCTTGTCTGACCGATTTTCCTTTTACTTTCGTATTTTGTTTGGCTTTGCTGAGAGAAGCAAGATATTTTGACCCAGCAGATTCGTGAAGGATGCTTTGAAACTGCTCTTGCCAAATTGAACTACTGGAGATTCGGCTTTCAAACCCAAGCATTTCTCGCTCTCCCTCAAAACCATCATTGACAAGAAATCCATCATGGTTGCTGCTCCGTGTAATGAATTTATGCCTCGAAACATCGTTCTGTCTGCTTAAACTGGTGGCGGGACGCATTGATGTCTCTGGAGATGAGAAAGGAGCTGTGGATGAGATGGAATTTTTGGCATACTTGAGTTGAACTATGCGCTTTGTACGTTCTTCAAGTAAATTTTTCAATACAAAGCTTCTCTGAGAAGTTTCGAGATCGAGAGTCTGGGATCGGTTAGATGTCGTAGAGGAAGATTCAGTCCTTTTCACCAATGCAGGCGTTGCTGCGCTGAGAGTCCTGACAGCTGGACTCGATTGCATTCCGGAATGAGTAGCAAACCGATTACTTATTTCCATCTCTTTTGCATCCTCTTGGAGGCTGAGTGATTCAGATTAGTTATGATGTCAACCATAAATCAATAACTTACGCAAGAAACACGCTTCGTGAGTGGTTCCAGTCTTTGTCAGCTACTTCCTTGTTGTATTCGCGGTACTCACGACCATCTGCCAGTTGCTTACAACATCATTCAAATCGACATGAGTAGCTCACTCGAAGGCGTCCTGCTGCCTTCATACATGTCTCGCAGATATCTTCTGCAACGCGTCTGCTCAACAAGAAAGGAAGCTAGCACGCGATAGAAGACCTGGAAGGAGACAGAGGAATCTGCTTATGTGTTTCAATGAATTGTGCGATATTCATCACCCCCCTGGCCTGACGATTTCGTGCTCTATGGGCTCTATCATCTTGCTGATGTGCGAAGCTGCTGGGAGATGTCGAGGGTAGAAGACCTCGGTTGTTCACAAAATGACTTCCAACTATCTTGAGGGGGCTCGACGGCCTTTCATCATGATACCTTGCAGAAGGAATCAGAACAAGTATGCCTCGCTGGCATCCAATTGTTGATTTACTGCTCAGAAAGGAAGTCTTTCCGTCGATGCTTTGCTCGGTTTTCTCTTCTAGAACTGAGCAAATTTTAGACCTTGTTCGTATAACAACATTGATATTCTTAACCCTGAGACAGTGTGGGGGCGATGCTCCATCTGCAGTTCACTTCTGTTTCTCATGGTAAGAGCGTTTCTTCTTTCTGGCTCTTCAACTACCATCTCAAGTTACCAAATGCTCAGCTCTTCCATGAGAGTTTCACCTTGCCGCCATCAGCCCTGGACAGCACTGCACCTCGAGGCAGCGCTTCGGAGCAGATCAAGACGCTTTCATGATGATGCTTCAACATGTTCCATGTCTTGTCGCCTCCCCTCCCTTCCAGCATCCCTGCCGTCATCTCCTCCCTTCTACTGCCATAGGCCCCGGCATCTCGGTAATCTCCAACGCCCCTTCCGTTACACTCTGCGTTATTCTTATCGGACACTGAGTCTGATTTCCAACCCCGGGGTGCCGGCGGGCCGGCCGCACCCTCCGAGTCGGTGTAGTACTTCGGCGGGCCATGCTGTGACAGCGCCGGCTCGATCCGATCCAGCGAGTCGGAACATGGCGCAGCCCGCGCGGCCCGGCCAGCAAGGCCGCTCTTATGCCAGCGGCTAATAGTTCTAGTTGAATGCGGTCACTCATATGAATGAGGCTACATCTCGAATCTGTTTGGCAACCGCGCTATGATATGTAATTGCTTTCTAGAAACGCAGAATATGCACAAGACCACATAAGCAAGCGGCTTTCCTATTCGTTCAATTTGCTTCGACGTCCTAGACATAACACCATCAACAGGTCACCGGGTCGCTGCAAGCAGGACATCACTTACGCGCAGGATCTCATCTTCAAGCGCCATTTGGTTCAACCATGACTGTTCCTTCATACCAAAGATTATATGATGCAAAAGTGTACCTTCAAATCGAACGTGCATACCCTTCCTTCAATCACCGGATGCAGTGGTGTAGTGTCGTGCCCATTCTTGTGCGATTCATGTGTTCTGGATGAACTTTTCGGAGTCTGCACAATAAAATGCAACATGTTAAAAGTTTACAAGTATATTGTCGCATATCAGCTCACCGAGACACCAAATTCACTCAGAATCTGCTCTTCCAATTCAAGAGTTGAGGGTAAACGTGAGATTTCCGGCTCTTCTTCACGATGGACATCACTCTGGTTATCCCTTGATGTTCGCGGGTGGATTTCCCTAGACCTGGACTCGACTTGACCTGGGAGGTGTAATCGATGCTTATGAACATGTCGCGTACTCAAAAAGTGAGGTATCATGTCTACCTGTGTTGACAGCGTCTGGCATCCTTGGCATGACATCTCCTTGTGAACTTGTATTTGATTCATCGCGTTGTGCCGAAATACCGACAGGATGGCGGCCAGATGAAGGTCCACAACCCATGAACAGAAAAATGCTTGGAAAGGGGGAGAAATTTCCTCAGCTCCACTCACACACCACGTTGACCTGGAACTCTTTTTGCTTCTCACTTTGTGGCCAACGGTCCATACAGTCGAGCTCTTCTATTGAAGTTGAATTCGTCCTCTCTAGATCATAATTCTCTCCATTTGCTACTTTCTGAAACTTTTGATTCTGTAGCTTATCCCACGTCATCTAAGATTCCCTTTGAGCTCGCTGTGTAGCCTCCATCCCCCGTCCTGATCTTGGCTCATGACCAAGCTCTATACTTCATACATGCCGTCTCTGCAAACATGAGCCTGTTCATCTCTTCTCCCCATGACGCGTCCTCCCATCTGCTCTTCCTCCTCTTCTCCTTCCTTCCGTCTTGTCTGCTCGTGGAGAGCCCATGTTAGCCTCTCCGACCTTCGCCCAACCGCCTATCGACTGTGATAGCCAGTCAAAGAAGTGGGGTACTAAAAGGGAAAAAGAGGGGTGGGACGACTATAAATATATCTTCCTTTAAAGTACGGGTGCTTTACCTACTAGGAATGGGGGTAGTAGTTGTACGAGTCTACAAGGGTTTTATATTGGTGTGATTGAGAATAGGGGTTCTTTTTAGGGTAACAGAGGGGGTACTTTTGTCCATTGCACGGGGGTTATTGGATAGTCAAACTGGGGGGTGGTAAGGGTGACGGGGTGTGGACATAAGCTCAGGGCGTAAGACGGCAGAAAATGCTCAGGTAAAACAAGAATGGACAGAGCGATACGAGCAGAAGATTGCGAGAATGTGGCGAGAATTGTCGGAGATGAGAAGAATGATCGTTGAAATATGAAAGACAGTGATGTAAGTGCAGAATGACGAGAAGAAATGTGTCAGAGGAGCTGAAGGATAGGGGAAGTATTTCAGTGCTGCGAATTCATCATAGAGGTTTGATGAGGTGACTAGAAGAGAGACAATTGAGGGAAGAACGAGGTTTGTGTGTTGGGGGAGGAGGAGGATGATATCATCAAGGACTATTCGTTGGATAGAAGATAATGTTCTGCCCGACCGCAGCAAGGGCCTGGTAATGCAGGCCCTACGAGGGAATGTGGATTGCGTCCGTTCGTTGCAGAGGTAAGTCTTGATTTTAGTCTGGTCTCATGATAATCCTCACAAATTCAGCCGTCTCTCCTCTAGTTTCCGATCTCACTATTCCACGCTGTCAACAAGCTATAAGGTCAAGCTGATCAAAATTGTGTTGGTGTGTATCGAAGGCTGAGAGCTGAAGTAGTTCACCGTCAAGCCGCACATCACGCTTACGACGCGGAGCTTCAGTCACATCCAGAATCGATATCTTGGCCTGGGGGACGCATGTAAACGGCTGATACAACCTGGTGAGAAAGATGATATTGGAATTTCCTCAGGATAGTCATTCGTGATTCAAGGTGTGAACTCTCATGTCCTGTCGAGACTGTTGCCATCGAATAGACCTCATGTGACTGACGGACAACCACTCTTGCTTGCCGATTCTTACTGGGAAGTCATAGAATTCGTCAGCTGCGATCGGGGAGCAGAAGCATTTGTCAACATCAGCTGTGCCAGAGCATCAGGTACTGACATGTTCAGCAGAAAATGTCTTATGATTTCTTAGAAACTTGACGATACCAACATCGTTCAACTGGAAGGAGTCTGGTACAGCAAAGGCGATCGCTCAGTAGGCTACTGGTTGATTGTAGTTTCTGGCATGGTGATCAAGGATTGGTTGTTGCCCGATACTGACTTGAACCAATACAGGTCATTGCCATGGTCGTTCTTGGTGGATTGACGCGTCTCACTGGTTCCGGTTTGTCCATGGTCAAATGGAAGCCACATAGGTGAGATGAGAGATGGCACTTGTGGTGTTGAGACAAGGCTGCAGTGAGATTCCGCCGATGACAGAAGAAGAGTGGATGGCAGAGTTTGAGGTATAAAATTTCAAGGTGACTTTCTGCTCTTACAGCATGGTAGGAATTCAAGACATACCCCGAGTGGATAATGAAACGTCAATATGAAAACTTTACTCTTCAAGATTTCAAGTTCATCTACTACATGGAGTGGTCTCATCGTATGTTCGGACGGTGAAGGTTGACAGAGGTTTGAATACCGCCTGATTCAGCTGCAGTCTGATCGGGGTTGTTTTCACCGTTCCTCTGGTTTACTTCGCTTCACGAGGATACTTGAAAGGGCCCATTCCGGTGATGAAAAAGATTGTTAGCGCTCTGAACTCAGATTGCTGCAATCATAGAAACAAGTCGGTTTCTTGTTTACTCTCGGAGGGTTGCAAGGACTTGTTGGATGGTGGATGGTCAAAAGCGGTCTGCAGAAAGAAAAGATGCAATTGGTGAACGATTTGAATATTTTCTATTTGTCTTATTGTCGGTCTGTTGCTGTAGGAATCTGCAGAAGATTGGCAGTTCAACACTCAATTTGCAGCTGTCAGCCCATACAGGTGCTTCAAAAGGCTATTTTTCGAATATTTATTCTCTTCATGTAGGTTGACCGCTCACCTTTCCTCGGCGATTACAATCTACATGCTTCTCTTTTGGTTTGGTGCGCAGCTGTGGAGAAACGAGCTTCTATTGATCACTTTGTCTATAGGACTTGGTCTCATCGACAAGCGTCGAATTGCAACTGCTTGCGACCAGACGGCAAAGAAGATGTGGTGGTTCAGGTTTGAAGATTCGATGTATGAATGCTTGGTCACGTTCATGCAGGCAGGTCGCCCATGGAGCTGCAGCGTTTGCAGGGTTGACGGCCTTCTCTGGAGGATTTGTGGCAGGAAATCATGCAGGCCTTGCCTACAATGATTGGCCGCTGATGGGAGGAAGATTCATCCCAAAGGTTTGCGAAGAGGGTAAAAGAGGGAGAAAATTTTGATCTGATGCGAGAAAAAGGATCTGTGGGAGGACCGATTGGGATGGAGGAACTTCACAGAGCACATTCCTGCTGTTCAGTTCAACCATCGCATGCTGGCCTACTCCACACTGACGGGTTAGAGAAAGCTTCCTCCTTTCATCCTTGATAGACACCCGGTGCAGGCGCTCTCGCCACATTCTACATGGCCAGCAGCATCAAGCTCCCTAAGCGTGTCAACAACGCGATGCGGCTGGTAGCAGGTTGGCTCACGCCTCTGATAGTTCAGTCTCTTGTCATCGCAAGAGTCTCACGGCGCTCCAGGCGCTCTGCTCCTGCAAATCAGCCTCGGCGTTGGAACTTTGTGGGGAGGAGTTCCAGTAGAGCTTGCAGCATCGCATCAAGCTGGATCTCTTGTGGTATGGACGATCGTCTCATCAAGGTGTTAGTCATGAGCTCTGACCCCCGTCTCTCGCAGGTTCTTTCCTCCTTCCTTTGGCTGCTCCACACCCTCCGATACGCTCATCCCACCTTCAGGTGCCGTGAGGTAGGTCGGCACTTCGCTCACAGTGTGAAACGCAGGCTCGCAAACGTCGTTTCATCTGCCATTCGATGATCCTCCCGCCATGGGATGCACCATGTGGCAATCATTGGTACAGGTTGAGCCATTGCGATAAACAATTAAGGTGTACAAGTCTATTTCATGTGCCTCCTACCCTCATGCAACCGACCTGTTCGTCTCCATTGCGCCATAGCTCATGACGATGGCTCCTTCTCCCTCGCACTTGCTGCAGTACTCAGTTCTCACTATCCCGTCACATGTTGTGGACACCCTCCCCTGCCCACCGCACCCCACACAAGGGACGACGCGCACTTCGGGCCTCGACAACTTGCTCTCCAGGGGGAGGGGGAAACCGTCTCGGTCGCACATCCTTCCTGCCACGAACATCTGATGGGTCCCGTCTGCCAGGATGCGAATCCCACTCGTGAGAGGAGAACCGGGTGGTGATGGGGATGGAGAGGAGGAGCCCGGAACGTTGGCGACGCGCAGAGAAGATCGGAAGAAGGGAGAGTCATGGTCTTGCAATGCATCAACGGCCATTTCTCCTTCTTCTCGCTTCCAATCCTTTAGCGACTCCTCCCTGCCACCACCTGCTCTCCACTTCATCTGCTCCTTATTGCATTCCTGCTTGTGCCTCTCCCAGTCCAACCTCTGGCAGTCTCTCGAGCAGTACACGACCCTCTTGCATGCTGAGCAGCGCTTCCGTCCTCCTCCTCCACACCTCATGCAGTCTCCTCCTCCGCTTCCAGCGCCTCCGCCAACTTGAGCCATCCCAGAGCTCGCAGCGGTTTCCGTTCAACGGTTTTAGGCAGTAAAAGGCAGTGAAAAAGAGCAGGTTTCAATTGTTTAGGGAGCGACTCATGCTGAGAGGGGGAGGGAGAGGAGGGAGGGCGGGGAGAGAAGAGGATGAGCAGTGTGAACGAGGTCAAGCTGAGTGCAGGGAGTGCGAGAAAGCGAGAGAGAAGAGGAAGGGATGGGATGGGAAGAGATGTGGATCGAGAGGCGAAGTGGCATGGCGAGGAATCGCTAACAGAGATGGAAGCAGGTGCAGGTTGCTTGATATTCTTGGACGAGCATGCGAGTGACAGCAAGTCGCGAAGCTTCTTCCATCTGCGAGTCAGCAGCAACCGGAGACATTACGTGGACCTCGGGCTCAGGGTTGGCAATGCCGTAGCTTCGCAGTTGACGACTGGTGGCGGAGGCCTTATGGAGGGCGGCATCGTAGCGGACAGGTATGAGGCCATCAAGCGCATCGGGCATGGGTCCTACGGCAGCGTGTACCTTGCGCGGAGACGAGGGACTACAAGCAGCTTCGTGGTGCTCAAGAGAGTGTTTGTGGTGGAGGAGGGTTCCAAGGAGCACAAGGAAGCGATCAACGAGGTGAAGATGCTGCAGCGGCTGAGGCACAGGAACATCGTCGCCTACAAGGACTCCTTCATCCGCGACAGCCACCTCTGCATCGTCATGGCGTTCTGCAGCGGAGGAGACTTGCACTCGCAGATCCGAGCAGCCCGGTCCTCCTCGCGCACTTTTACCATGGAGCAGGTGCTGGAGTGGCTGGCGCAGATCCTGGAGGCCCTGAGGTACCTCCATGAGGAGAAGCGAATTCTTCATCGCGACCTCAAGTCACAGAATGTCTTCATCGTGCCTGAGCGACAGATGGCTGTGAGCGACTGGAAGGAGGAGCGCGGGGCCCAGGAGGAGGGGAAGTACACACCGCAAGTGAAGAAAGACGGGCTCTTCTTCGTGACCCACAAGGCACGAGATGGATGGACCTTCGGGTTCAGCGAGCGGGTCAACGGGATGTCGAACCTCGAGCACAAGGGCTACGTGCCGCAGGCGTGTCTGAAGCGCCTGCCCCCCGGCAGCCACAGGACGAGCGTCAAGTTAGGAGACTTTGGAATCTCAAAGTCCCTCAGCTCGACAGAGGACATGGCGTCCACAGTCATTGGCACTCCCTACTACATGTCGCCAGAGCTGTGCCAGAACCAGCCCTACAACCACAAGTCTGATATGTGGGCGGTCGGCTGCCTGCTGTACGAGGTTGTCATGCTACGTCACGCGTTCGAGGCGAAGAACCTCAACGAGCTAGTTCTCAACATCATGCAGGGGAAGGTGGAGGCCTCCCGCCCTCCGTCACTTCCTGACGTGCTGGCAGTTCCCGCCGGTGAACGAGGACGAGTGGGGGAAGGACATCTCGAAGCTGGTGGAAGGTGAGGGGGGGAGGGACAAGAGGAGGGGAGCACACTACGAGATGAGTTTAGTCCAGAGGCACAGAGGATGGGGGCAGGGGAGGTTCAGGATGAAAGGATGGATACGTGCAGAGAGATTGGTTGACTTCTGCTCCCAGACCTACTGCAGCAAGACCCGGCCAAACGTCCATCAGTCTCGGAAGTCCTTCAGAGAAAATTCCTGCAAGAGGTTGAGGAGAGGAGTCGAGAGAAAAGTGTCCTGACAACCAGATCTCAAGGTTTCCGTCTGCTTCACCCGTGAATCTCTGCCTGAGATAAAGTTGCCGGAGGTCGTTTTCCTTTTTCCTCCACCCCACCACCACCACCACCTCCTCCTTCTCCTCCTCCTCCTCCTCCTCCTCCACTTACAGCCAATACTACCCTACCAACATCTTCGACAGCAACACCCCTCCTCTATGATATCCTCCCTCTCCACCTCGTCTTTCTCAAATTCTCTGCCTCTTTTCCTGCTCTTCCTCTTCTTCCTTTGTCAAACGTGGTGGCAGGACATGTCAGTGGAGAAGGAAGAGCAGAGTGAGATGAGCTCTGCCGTCAGCAGCAGAGCAAAGAGAAACTTTCTGGACTGGAAATCTTCGCACTCATCTCGACGGGCAGCAGAAGGTTCATGCGGCTCTTTGATTCGAAGGGCTCACTGTTGGTCAAGACAACCCCAGAAACCTCGAGCATTCTGCTTCAAACATGTCAACCGATCGAACTCCAGTAAGTTTCTCTTCGCCGGCATCCTCTTGATCGATCTCCATCTGCTTCTCAGTTGCATTAGTTTGTCACCTTCCCTTGTCCCCTTCCTCCCCCGTCTTCTCCTAGCTTCTACTTTCCCTCATCCTCCTCACCCTTCGCCTGCAGCGGATCCACAGAGTCATCGTGAACATCGAGAACGAGGTACAGGATTCAAGGTATGCGAGCAAGGAGGAGGAGGAGGAGCTCATGACAAGAAAGAGGGACGCCATCTTCGGCCCACAAGTACCTTGCCGACGAGTCTTCCACCAGCCAGGAGAGCTCATGTCCTTCCAAGCCTTCTTCAGGTCACCCCCTGATGTTCTCCTCTTCCTCCTCCTAATGTTCTTGAAACAGCATGGAGAATGCCTTCACCGCTCGAGATGGAAGTTGAGCACAAATCTTACGGGTTTTTGAATGTTCGGACTTCTTTCTTTCCTCTTCCATCTCATTTCTCTTCCATTTTGCTCTTTCTGCCCTGAAATTTCACTCACTCTCCTCACAGTGTCCCGTTGGAAGTCCCGTCGAGGACGAGAAGTATGCAGGGGACATGAAGGATCTTTCAGATCTCAGTCAGGTCTTGTCCTCTCTCTGCCCAGCCGCCGCTCAACCCTCGCAGATCAACATTCCCATCAAGGAGGAAGTAGATTCTCCCAAGCAGAGGCTCGATGAAGACGCTCGTCTCTGCCTCCAGAAAAGCGGCGACACCTCACAGGACAGCTACGTCCGTCTCCTCCACGCGTATGCCAGGGACGATTCAAAAGGACAAACCGCTGAGGAGGACGGAGGTGAAACGTTTTGGTCGGTGAGGCATTGCTGATGCCTTGCAACAGATGAGGGACGAGAGGAGGGTAAGCGGGAGCAGGAGCAAGGCACCCAAGTCAAGCCACGGAAGATCCTCTTGGTTGAGACGAGCATGAAATCTTTGTCCCAGCTGCCCAGCTCTGCTGGAGACGGGCAGGAGCAGGAAGACAGGTGAGAAGACTGTCCATGGCACGAGTGTGAGAAAGGCCGCAGCCCGTTTAGCCAAGACAGTCTCAAGGGAAACAGCCAGCTGATCTGGATTGACGATAGCATGTTAGCATGATCGCCTCCCCTCCTCCCCTGTGACTTCACTTCGTCACCCGCTCTTCTCCTCTTCCCTCCTCTCCATTCCCTGCGCGCTTCCTCCCTTACTGTCTCTTTCTCTCCCCCTCCCCCTTTGATGCCCGGTCACCAGGCATGACATTCCGCCGGGCATGGAGGAACAAAGTCGTATTAGCAAGCGGGAGGAGTCTGAGGTAACAGAGAGGAGAGGAGGAGACGGCTGCTTATGGAACAGATGTACGAGGACGACTTCGAGGACGACAGCACAGAGCGGCAGGTCTCTGAGCAGTTCGGAGGGAGTGGAGAGAACTTCGAGGATGCAAGCGAGAGGGACAAGGAGAGCGGACGGGTTGGCAAGGTTGGAAATGAAAACATTGAGAAGGAGGAGGCCACGAGGCTCACAAGGTTGTGCAGGAGTGCGCATGGGAGAATTTGACGGATCACACTTCGATGAAGCTGCTCGAGCTTGGAAACTTCGAATGCGAAGATTATTCGGTGAAGTTCCTGGCTTTCACTGGCCGAGTGCCTGACCCTCCCCCTCCCCCTCCCCCTCTTCCTCGCTCCTCCTGCTCGTCACTGACTTTCTGCAGGACGACTTTGAAGATCTATCGGACGAAGACATTTACAAGAGCCCAGATGCATGAGGCAATCAAAGACCTCCACCTGCCGCCTGTCTAGCTCATCTCACATAACGTCCTCCGCGGAGGAGTAGATAAGTTCTCCTGCCGTCGCCACCGTCGCGCTAGGGGGGTGAGGGTTTGGCTTTCTCGTTTTCATCATGATCTCCACATCGCGCTTCGTCAACGTTGCACCGTGCTCATACTTGAACACACGAGGAATCGTCATCCGCTCCGTCTCTCCGTAGGCGCCTGTGCTGGCCGCGCGCTGCTCTCGCTCTGCTCCGATCTCTCTGGCTCGCTTCTCCAACTTGTCCGCACGCGACTGCATGTCCACAAAGTCCTTCTGGTGTCTAGTCTGCATCCCCGAGTTCTGCACGTTGGACATGGATCGCACGCTGCTGGTTGCCATCGCCTCCTCGTGTCTGGTCTTGGTCGGAGGGAGCGAAGGGTCTGTGACCTCCAGCACCCTCCTCGACCCGTCCGCGTCCCTCAAGAAGTAGAAGTTGGGAGCCGCGAGCTCCAGCGGGATCTCGACCACCTGCGCTTGACCACTGCCATCGACGAGGGAGGCAGAAGTGCGCTTGTGAATGAAGTGCTGCTGGATGGCTCGGTCAGGCATGGGGGCATGAGAGGCATGAGAGGTCGAGACGAAGGGAGGAGGATCTTCTGACTCAAGCTCCCGATCGAACGCCTGCAGAGGAAGTCAGGAGGACCAGGTCCAGGAGCGCCGAAGAAGATATGTGTTAGGAGGAAAGTTGATGGGGCAGGCAGAAGCGCAGGAGGGGAGAAAGAGCAGTTGAATCACATAGACAGGAGAGGGATCAGCAGCATGTGCATGTGCATGAGCCTGAGCGCTGTGAACATGGTTGTCACCTCAGTGTTGGTTGCGATTGAATTCAATCTCTCTTCGATCTGCTGCAAAGGAATAGTCGAGAAGAAGTCGCCGTAAGAGGACGAACTTCGCCTCCACGACTTGGCAGAAGTCTTCAAACTTGCTTCAGGTATGCTGGTGTAGTACATGGACGTGCATGGAGGAGGCTTGGGGAAAAGCTCCATCTACATTATGTCAATATAATATCAATGCGTCACTGCTTTGTAAGGTTTGATTGCACAGGTTAAGAACCGTCATTTTGTGACATCCTCCTCGTCCTCCTCCATGATGATTATCATCGTCCGATCATCATCATCATCATCATCATCATCATCATACTCGTCGTCGTCGTCGTCTCGTGATCATGGTCCGACGTCTTTGTCAATCAGTGTCGTCATGTTCATCCTTGTTACTATCATCACTATCAAACAGTAGGAGAGCCACGATACTAGAGCATGAGTAGACAAGGAGCATGAGCAGATATAGAACGTGAGATAGAGAGGGTATGAGATAGACAGAGTATGAAATAGAGAGAGTATGAGATAGAGAGAGTATGAGATAGAGAGGGTATGAGATAGAGAGAGTATGATATAGAGAGAGTATGAGATAGAGAGAGTATGATATAGAGAGAGTATGAGATAGAGAGAGTATGAGATAGAGAGAGTATGAGATAGAGAGAGTATGATATAGAGAGAGTATGAGATAGAGAGAGTATGAGATAGAGAGAGTATGAGATAGAGAGAGTATGAGATAGACAGAGTATGAGATAGAGAGAGTATGAGATAGAGAGAGTATGAGATAGAGAGAGTATGAGATAGACAGAGTATGAGATAGAGAGAGTATGAGATAGAGAGAGTATGAGATAGAGAGAGTATGAGATAGAGAGAGTATGAGATAGAGAGAGTATGATATAGAGAGAGTATGAGATAGAGAGAGTATGAGATAGACAGAGTATGAGATAGAGAGAGTATGAGATAGAGAGAGTATGAGATAGAGAGAGTATGAGATAGAGAGGGTATGAGATAGAGAGGGTATGAGATAGAGAGTATGAGATAGAGAGAGTATGAGATAGAGAGAGTATGAGATAGAGAGAGTATGAGATAGAGAGAGTATGAGATAGAGAGAGTATGAAGAGCACGAGAGAAGAGCTCGATAGAGAGCATGTGAGACGGTTGGCAACTCACAGTCCTGCTAAGCGGACCGATTTCCAACTGAAAGTTCTTCTACCCCTTCGAGTAGTATAAATTATGGGGGTACTGGTAGGCAGGATGGTACATGGGATGGTAGGGGTCTGGGTAAAGGTCTGGGGCTGCTCTGGGGCTGGGTCTCAGGCTGAGCGGCTGGGTCTGGGGTACTGTCTGGGGTCTGGTCTGGGGTAGGGGTTGCGTCTGGTCTCCCATCATCTTGGTACTACCTGAAAGAATGCAGCCATGTACTTAGCGGTGCCGACAGTGCACGTTTTGCAAGGGCAGGGAAGCGGAGGGAGGGACATGAGATTGATCTGAATGGGTGATAGCATGGAGAACTAGTAGCCTGAGCTCAAGTGATCCTTGAAGAGTACGAGGGCCAACAGCAAGAGGTACAAAGTTGAAACAGCAACATCCATTTCAAACATGGATTTGATATTTCTTTCTTACTTGTCTGTTTCTAGGGTTTATATGAAGGTGTCAACCTCCCATGGACCCTCCTGCCATCGCTTTTGGAAACTTGCTACCGTATATTGAGAACTCAGATGAATTGCATACTGCTATCGCAATTTGGATTAGGAGCCACTTCCTGTATCGCAGGTTCTTGCGTCATTTTTTGCCTTGTACTCGTGATTCGGCGCGCTCTACTTGATTTCTTTCTTTCCCTAGGCTGCATGTCTTTCGAACAAAGAACAAAGAACTCAAGCATAACAGGATTTCCAGGTGGAATTTGCATTTTTTTACCTCAACTGTTGCTCACCGCCATCAGTGATGAGACGGACGATTTCACAATCAAGCTCAGAATGCCGCACAGTCCGACATGCTTCGTAATCATGTATGTCTTCAATTCAATGCTGAAACCATGAAGATGAGCGCGTTCTTCTTGATCAGTGGTGCAAGAACAGGACATGTACGTGACGTCTAGTTTCCCACATCTTTAGTGATTTGATTGGTTTCAGGAAACCAGACTTCTCGCCTCACTGGCAAATCGCTGCGCAAAAAAAACCTCTTGATGAGGCAGAACAGATGATCGTTGCCAGTGTGTTGGCTGTAATTTAGCAGGCCTATGCTGTACAAGCTTTTTCTCTGAGTGTAAGGACTAAAGTTATGGGTTTAATCGAGCTGTCTGTTTGCATCAATCGTCCAAGCCCAACAAGTAATTGGTTCTGACGTTTTTGTTACCCTTTCCTCCTGTGTGTTGTGAAAAATGAGGGGATGATTCAAGCATTTGATCCTGCATACCAGTCCGCTTTGTCCTGAATGGTCTCGGACGCTGTCTTGGACATGCACGCCTAGCTCAGTGAAATCAGCTAACGCATGAAAGAATGTCTGGTGGAGTACCCCAAGTTTCTCTTGGATATCACCGAGATGACAACGAATCCTAGTCATGCCACGTGAGAAATCTTCCTGCTCATGCCTCCCACCCACCTGGTATAGAGTCATCTGTTTTTCCCGCATCAGTTTCTTTCTGCCAGTGAGAGCTGTTGGTTTTAGACGGGACAATTCTCGTGTACTTCTTTACGACGTGATAAGATGTCCTCCTTGTATGAAACAAGTTTTCCCAAATGCCACGACCCTTCAAAATATCATGTATGCACATTGACTGCTCGCTGAGAAATCCTAGATAGATTGTGTCCTCAACAACAAACGAAAATTACCACATAAAGCTTCGATAACAAAAACCTGGAGAAGAGAACAAGTTCAACCCCTCGGTTCAATTTACAAACCCTGAATGTTTTCGCACTTCATTTCCTAATACTCTCTATGCTCTCCTCCCTCAAGTTCTCTGCTGTGTTAACCCTTCCCAGTCCTCTTTCATTCCCTTTCATCATCGCGTCCTCTCAACTGCCCTCCTCCAGGGGCCCCTCGAGTTTCCCTCATCTTGCTCCACCATAGTCCCTGACCAGAAGGTCCATCAGCATGTCAGCATGGTTACACGAATGGCAGGTCTTACGCCGGCCGGGGCGCCCGGCCGGGCCGGGCCCGGGGCCGGCGTCACCCGAGTCACGCCGCGCGGCCGGGGCCGAGCAGGGTTTCAATCCGAGTAAGCGGACTACTGTGCGAACTCGAAGAACCCTTGCAGGTTCGACAGCGATGTCGCTGGCATGGCGCGCCGGGGAAATTGTCCAGGTATCGCCGTTTGGCCCGGGCCTGTGCGGCAGTGTCAGGGTCCGAAGCCTCAGGGCCTCGACTCTCCTGATTGTCCTCGTACTGATTTTTAACTTAACTTTGAGTAAAGTAAATCATTAAGCGGCAGCACAGCGGAAGATCCGAGGGCATCGTGACCTCGCGGCATATGCTCAGCACGTCCCGCCAAAGGCCTTTCTTCCCATCATCGCCAGCACTGATGGCCTCTTGCCGCGGCAGGACGATGCGTTGCGCTTTCTGTGGTGGCTGGCGGATCGCTCGGTCGGAACAAGGAAACGGCAGCGCTGGATGGTATCTCGGCCTCGCAAGACGTCTCAGGTGATCCGACTTGCAAACGCATCCGGTCCAGGATATTTCGTCAGCTCAAGGCCTCCCTGTCCTACGCTGCCATCATCGCGGGTGCATCCCGGTATGCGTCTCATTCCTTCGGCGGCGGCCACCGCGACATCCGAGGCTGGCATGGCCGCGCGGGGGACTTGCCCTGCGCGCCGTTAAGTGAAGGTACTACGAGTCAGACACAAGTTAAGTTTGGGGGACAGCAGTCGGCAGGATTGGGTTTGGTTCTCGCTGTCTTTCTCTTCTCGCCGTTTGGCCTGTGCGACAGTTGTGTCAGGGTCAAGCCTCCTCGACTCTCCTGATTGTCCTCGTACTGATTTTAACTTAACTTTGAGTAAACGATTTCATTGGCCTGTTGTGCCGCGGCATGTGGTTTGCAAAAATTCTACAGTCGAATCGAGTACCGGTCACACTCCCGGTTGAGTTACTACCGTTACATGCTGGTACTAGTACCATACTGTCCTCGGAGAACCACCGGGTCCGACCTGGTTCATCCGGTCGCCGCCAGACTCGGACCGGACCCACCGGCACTACTGAGGCGGCTAGCTAATAAAATGGTAAGTAGGGCAACGACAAATCGCTGACTACCCTCTGCTCCTGAAGCGTACTGAGGGGTGAAAAGTACCCACTAGTCTCCATGACATGATATGCGGCCCCCTCCTTTACCACGGGTAGTATGTGCCAGGCCGGAAATTGAAGTCTTGGTTTAGCGGAACAAGGTGGGTGGACCAATTAGTCCCGGCATGGCGATCGGGGGGGGTATTAACCTGAGTAATTCCAGTGGGTGGGGTTGTATATTAAAATTATTATCTAGACAGGGTTGGGGTGGTAAGGTCACTACCCTGGTGAGGTATCAGCGAGGGGAATGGCTGGTATAGAGCGAGAGGGATGGACAATGATGAATGGAAGACATTCGGCATGGGTCGAGTCATGGTACATGCGGGCAGGTAATGGAGCAATTTTAGAGCGCTGGGCCGTTTTGACGCAAACGATATGATTTTCTCTACAGGTATTGATAAACCAGTGCAATCCTCTTCGCTCTCTGCAAACATTTATTTAAGAGACACGAGGTCAAGAATGATGAACTCTCCAGTCCATAAAGTGAATGCTACGTCATAAGTAGACACATGCTCACTGTTGATGGCACAGATTTGGATTGGAACAGAAAAAGGTGCTCGAGTCCGTGATTGGATTCTGTTATCCCCTCAACCAAGTATTGCGAGATAGGAAGACATAAAAGAAAGTGACTCGAAGGTTTGCAGGCAACTGTGATCGACATCAGGCATGGACTGAAGTTTTCGATGAGAGAGATGAAATGTAGTGACTGTTGAACGTCAAGTGATTTTATCTTGTGAATCTTTTCTCAGATCTGTACACAGCTCATCTTGTGAATTGCCTTTATCGGTGTCTCTGTCTAACAACATAGACATGCTGGCTGAAAATGGGAGAGAAATTGTTGAGCATTATCAAATTCTGAAGCGCGTTGAAGAAAACTGTGCAACCAGAGGTTTGCAATGTGTAGTACGGAATCTTGGTATCAGCTGAACAGCTTTCAGAGATAGATTTGAGTGCAGATCATCTGAAGAAGCCTCAAAGTCTATCAAGTAGGATTCACCAGCAAGCATTGCAGAAGATGTGCTCCATAGACCTCAGGTATTCCTGTCTGCTCACTCTTTTATTTCATGATTTGTTTTTGCACAGAAATAATACTCTGCTCAACTACGGGGGAATTACCGCGAGCGATCGATCAGAACATTTGAGGAGCGGGAATTCGGGTTCAACCGGTGAAGACTTTCTTCAAGAAAGCAATCAGAACCGCACCTGCGAGCTCTGGTGCACCGAAGACGATGCTTTCCGAAAGTCGATGGTCAAAGAAGCGCTGGAAGCCCTCGAGCTCTCGACAAGAGACAACAAGGAATCAGAGAGGAGCTCCATGCAACGTGCTCCGGTTAAGTTTGGAAGCAGCTCCACGTCAAGCATGCCAAAGGTGATAGCAACGCGTCCTCTCTTGCCGCAAGATCTCTACTTGGATGAGAACGAGCAAGGTTTGCAACCATCTGACTGTTACAGACTCCTTGACTTTCGCTCAGATGACATGGAGATTGGTTTTTTTACCAAACAAGGTAGCAATTATGATGACACAAGAATGGTGGGATTAGCAGGTCACAATTCCTCATTTTCTGAGTTTTGCTTCTCAGAACCACAGCGCAAGTCTTTACGAGAATGAGTTGTCAGCAAAGAGCACAGACGATTCTGATAGCTGGATGATTGACAAAAATCCGTGGGAATTCTCCTGCGACGACAGAAAGGTTTGCGTTTACCGATATGTCTTTCGATGTGTTCCTCGCTCATCCTCCACCATCTGGTCTTTCCTGCTGTGCCCATTGCAGCTGCGGCTGATTTGATTGCAAATACCACTTTGCCTTCGTGAGGAGCTGCCAATATTGCTCCTTCGCTACTTCATTGCCCTGCTTCTTCGATGCCTACTCGCTACTTCTCGTGATCGCCTGTCCTTCCCTCTTATTGGCTGATGTTTTCAGGGCATCTTCTCTAGCACGATGAAATCTCCGCCACATGACTCGCTTAGTTTTGACTGCTGTCAGGACATTCAGATCCTTGCGCGACTAGACAGCAGTAATGTCTTGTGGATGTAGCTTCAGATGTAGCTGCATATTGTCTGGTGGATGTAGCTTTAGCTTTAGCGGCATGTTCGAGTCTTGTGGACAAGGAATTTTAAAATGTTGGATTGCATTATTGAATTGATATCTCCAAACTTTAAATATTCACCTTCCTTTTCAAGTCTGGCTCACTATCATTTCGTCTCGTCATGCGAGCGCCCAGCCTGAGAGAGGGAGAGAGGGAGCGAGGGAGCGAGGGAGCGAGGGAGCGAGGGAGATCAAATATGTCCTCACTGACTCTGGACTTGCAGTTTCCACCTACACCAGCGATCGTCATCGACCTTGCGACGTGTAATGACTGAATGATGTACCTTGCTGGCATGGTTTGATGGCAAGAGGTCTTCTCTGGTTCTGTTGAAGAGTTTGTTGATGTTTCTCCTTTTCCTCTTTAGGTTCTTGCTCTCTCATTCACTGGTTGCGCGTGAAGGTAGAATATACTTGGCTCGTATCTCAGCTTATCTTCTTTTTGCTTCAAATCTCACTCTCATTCCCGATGTTGTTGTCTTTGTCTCACATAGACTATCTCAGTGGCATTTCTCTTTATTGCATCTTGTTCGTACTTTGCAATCAGTCAGGTAGGTCTACACTGTAGCATTTAATGTGTCATCCCTGATCGCAATCATAGTTCAACGGCACGACAGTTGTTGTCGCGGGGTTGTAAGTCAATGGCAAGGAGTCGAGTTGTTGAGGTGATTGACAGTCTCTTTCTTCTCTTGGTTGATCCTGTATTCTCTGCAGCTGATTGGCAAATTCTGCCCTTGTCTTTGTCCTCTGCGAGACAATGAGATCTTCAGTGCGTGCATGCGATATCAGTCCATCTCTGCCCACTTGCTCATTTCTTCTGCAGGGGCGTGTGAATCGCCGAACAGCGTCGAGAATGTGCGGGCGATCTTGCGGAGGTGGAATTTCCTTGCCTTATGACTGCATGCTCCTCCGGGGTGACTCCCTTGATTCTCAGAGACCCGAGAGCCGTCCATGCGCTGAGATCGGACGACAATACGAGTGAGAGAATGCGAATCCCTTGCTGCATTGCTACCTCCCTGCCTCCCCTCCTACCTCGCATCCACTTCTGATCTCTGTACTCAACGCCTTTTTCTCCTCAGCCCCACTTCATCTCGCTGTGATCCTGCAGGACGTCGATCTCGTACGCATGTTCATCAGTCACAAGTGATCGTACTCCTCATCCTCATCCTTGTCCTCCTTCGCTTTATCCTCTTCCTTCCCCCTTCCTCCCCCTCTCTTCTAATACCTCTGGCAGAGCTGATGTTACGAGCAAGGATCAGGAAGGACAAACTCCGCTACACGTAGCAGGTAAACGATGCTGATCCTCCTTTATCCCCACAGCCTGACTGACGTTCTTTTTGTCAGCGCTCAGTGGCAATGCAGACATCACGAGCATGATCGTGGATGCGTCAACAAATCTTCAGCAGCACATCGACGACAAGACGGTCAAGGGATACTCTGGTACGCGTGTTGGGCACGTTGGCTGCTCTGAACCAGCTTGGGGACAGCGATCTACCTGGCGTGCTGGAGGGGACATCTTGAAGTGGCACAGTGAGATGAGGAGGGAGAGGGGATAGCAGGTTGAGGATGGGTGAAAGACAATGAAAAGAGGGGGAGATGGGGGATGAGGAAGAGATGATGTCGCTGATTTTGGCTAGGCTGCTGCATTCCAAGGGAGCGAAACTGAATCAGACGGACAATGAGGGCAGGACGATGATATCACGAGTGAGCGCGGAAACATGGGAGGAGGAAGAGGGATAGAGGGAGGGACGTTGAAGAGGAGGGGTTCGAGAAGGTACTCATGCTGGACAGGCTCGTGACTGGAACCAGATACGGGTACTGGAGTGGCTGGAGCAGGAGGTACTAGTCTCCTAGTTCCTCAGCTCCACTCAGCTGTTGCCAGCGCGAGGTTATCATGACGCCACCCAAACCGTCTGTGAGTGGTCTCGTGCTGCCTGCGCGAGAGATGAACGATCCGCGTCTTCCAGGCCCTGATTAGCGCGAGCAGCAGCGACAGCAGGGGTCGCGAGTTTCCTCTTCCTATGACTCTACTCACTTCCAGTCGAAGTAGGTGAAAGGAGCGAAGGCTCTCTGGAATTTGAGTCCGGTGATGGTGCGGGCGAAGAATCACTGCTCATCAAGAAGTAGCACTGAACGATTGTGAAGAAATCTGAATGAACGAGGTTCAGGACATTAGCTGCAGGTCCTTCTGGCATGGAAAAGAATCGCCGATAATTATTCTTTCTTCGTTCTACGTCTCCATTTTGTGGCAAAGAACAGAGTTTGTAACAAAATCATAAATAACGAACTCATGATTATCCCATGGTCGTAAGAGAGTCTTCGAACTGCATGTTTCCTGCTCATTCGTCATGATATGATAGCCAACAAGATAAATTACCGCTGAAGATTTTCTCCATACAGTGTTTTTGCTGGACAAAATTAATCAATATCGTTTTCAAATCCGCAACACAACTATTCATCATTATTTTCACGGCTGTCATCACTGTCATGGTTCCCAATTTCACCTCCTTCTCCCTGATTGTCATCATAACAAGCATCAAGCAGCAGCAGCAGCAGCAGCAGCAGCAATATCACCCTCGACTTCTTCTTGTCATTGCAAAAATGGATGCACAAAGGAGAGCACATCCCTCACCTCCATCTCAGTGCGGTAACTCGTCGTGCAGAACTCGACGGCAAACTGCTTCTGCTGCTGGGGCTGACAGGACAGGGGTTAAATAGTAGTAGAAGTGGAGGGAGGGGCCTCACCGACATTCTACCCAAGTCGAGTGACTGCAAGTGAGCAAAGGATGAATTCATCTCTTGGAATTGGCGCAAGTTGCTGAACATTCTGTTGAAAAGGAATACGAAACCGCGATTAGAACCCGTCAAAAATGAAGAGTATTCTTTTATTGTTGTTGCTGCTGCCGCCGCCGCCTCCTCCTCCTCCTCTTATCATCCAGATAAGTTTACCGCTTCTTTCTGCCCTGATCTCCTCCCTGGTCTATCAGATCTTTCTGCCCTGATCTCTCTCCCCTGGTCTGCCAGATCTTTCTGCCCTGATCTCTCTTCCCTGGTCTATCAGATCTTTCTGCCCTGATCTCTCTCCCTGGTCTGCCAGATCTTTCTGCCCTGATCTCTCTCCCCTGGTCTGCCAGATCTTTCTGCCCTGATCTCTCTCCCCTGGTCTGCCAGATCTTTCTGCCCTGATCTCTCTTCCCTGGTCTATCAGATCTTTCTGCCCTGATCTCTCTCCCTGGTCTATCAGATCTTTCTGCCCTGATCTCTCTCCCTGGTCTATCAGATCTTTCTGCCCTGATCTCTCTCCCCTGGTCTGCCAGATCTTTCTGCCCTGATCTCTCTCCCCTGGTCTGCCAGATCTTTCTGCCCTGATCTCTCTTCCCCTTCTTTCCTCTCCTGCACAGCTGTTGCAGTAATCATGCGACATTTCTGGCGCCATCAACCGGATATAGAACCACCCTGTAGGACCCCCCATTTACCTTCCCAATAAATCAGGGGTAGTCTTTGTGGGCTCCGACCCTGTTGAGCCGAGCCGGTACGGTCACTGCCCGGCCGCCGGGCCCGGTGGCGGCCCCGCGGCTCCTGACGGACCGTCGGACGGGCGTTGCCGAGCCTCCGAGAACTTAGTAACTCCGTTCACAGATCGGACCGGCCAGCAATAAGTGATAAGGCACGGTTCAGTGAAGAGAGAAGCTTTCCCGCCCGGCCAGCCTCACTGCTGGCCGGGCGTCAAATCATTGACGAGTTCAAGACGGACCAAAAGTTAACTATTTTGAACCGTGAAACATAAAGAACCGTAGGCTTCTTGTGACCAGACTCCAACTTCCCGGGCTTACTGGGCCCGGCCCGGCGTGACCGTCCGGTGCAGAGTCTCAGCCTCAGATGCAGTGCGCGGCTGCCGCCGCGAGCCTGATTCAGGGCCGGGCAAGTTGTGACGGAATACAAGTTTGTTAGACTTGTACTAGTCCAAAGTCACGCAGATATCACATCGACCTTAGTTGTAACAAGACAGTTTTTGCTCAAGACCGAGTTTAATGCACACAAAACCAGAATTGAGGAGCACATGAGAGATAGACTGTATGCTAGGATGTGAAACCCAAGCATCCAGACATGAGAGGACCTTAGCAAGACGGCTAGGAAAGACCCCCTCTTCGTCCCATACGCTACATTGGCCGCCTGCCACGTAAGTCGTCTTGGTTTACAGGAGAGTTTTTGTTAACTCGGCGCTATCTGACTGGCACGGCTGGCATACGTTCCATCCTCCCCCCGAGTTTCTGAAATAGTACGTTACATCGGACGTCAGAAAGTCACGCAAACAAGAATGTCAGCAGATCCAAGTCAAGATACGACGATACAACGTCAAGTTCACAGTCATGCTGAGTGGGCAATAACCATTCAAGGATTGTCCATTCTGAAGAAGATTTTCATGCAGGGCTATTAGATGTGCAGTGCAGAGATAAGGGAGATGCCTGGCGAGCTGATGCAATGACGAGAGAAGGAGGATAAGATAAGAGAGTCTGAGGAGAGAACTTCGGAGTTCAGATAACAGAGAGAGAGAGAGAGAGAGAGAGAGCGTGCCCGCCGGCATTTGAAGACCAAAAGATAAATTTTGAACCGTAAAGAACTTGTGACCAGAGATTGCTGCCGCGAGATTGGAACATCCGTTTCAAGGCATCTGAAGATTGTTGTGCAGTAGTACCTTGTTCGCCGATCCAGAAGTAGCTCCAGTTATGCATGCCACAGCCTAGCTCCATGACATGAAAACTTCCGCCAGATCTCCTGGTAGTTCCATTTGACTCCCATAGCGTTGCCATTTTGCTTTTTCTGCTTTGGGCTGTATGTTTTCCCGTGAGGGGGTTGGTCTGCTTTCTATGTGGATTGGGGGGTGGCGTGTTTGAGGATTTCAAACAGGGTTCAAATTTCAGGTTTATAACTCTGATGTTGTTTTCCAAAAAGATATTTTAAACTGTATTGTGGAATGGTTGAGTATAAACAGAGAAGTAGGGCTGCACCCCAGAAGTTGCACTGAGATCATGGGGTAGTCTACTAACTAATTTGTAGAGCCTTCTTATGGTACAATTTTATAAACAAGTTTGAACGACCTCTCTACACGCCATGAGCCTCCCCTTGTTCGGGGCACGTCGCACCGCTCTGTACTGCCCTAACCATGGCTCGCAAACAGCGAGCCCGCGGCAGCGTGTGCAGACATCAGATGTTCACCGAACCTCCTCATGGGAAATTCCTGAGGTGTAGAGATGATGATCCTTGAGGAGTGCTTCGTACAGTGCGTGGATCTCACGAAAAATCGTTTGGTGAGCGAAGAGCATCAATAATACAAGTGAAAATCACCATCACAGGGATACGTTGCAATCGAAACCGGGTTGTGAAATACCCTAAGCTATCTGCGATGCATGACAGGGAAACTGAGTTGGAGTAGATGGATGGAGATTACACACAAGACGACAGGGAATCATCATCCGACGGTGACTGGATTGTTCAAAAGCCGTACAGTCACCAGTGAGCTCAAGAACACATGTCTTCACGATGATGGCTGATAGGCTCGCAAGAAATACAGTGCATTTTAGCAGTGAGCTGCTCGATTGCTTGAAACCACGATGGTCCACAGCACTATCGAATGATAACAAGCAAGTCCAGTGGTTCGTGAAGGATTCTTCATCCGGTTTTCAAGGATGTGTTGGAACGATGAAACATGTTGCAAATCACCAAAGTCTATGCCATTTGATCACATGATGCATCATCTAAATATTACTGGTGTGAACTTGCATCAGATCGTGTGTCCATCAATGAGCCGCTGCCAAGCAGATGATACGGTCACAGCAAACACGAGCACTTTGAAGATGCTGATATTCCAGGCCGTACAGCATTTATGATGTGGCTACATGTCACATGCTTCTTGGTTAACACAGAAATAACTTCGCCAGGCAAAAGATGGAACGTCGTCAGGATTACAAGGAGGTCAGTTGTGCTTTTACCCAGATTGAAACGCTTGTAATAAAGATATGATCACCTGAATGTGGAATTCTGTTTATTGATTCACAGTGTTTGTGGTTCGTTTACAATCATCGAGTGCTTGCTCTGTTGAACAAGGCACCCCTCTGTAGAGCCAAATGCGACAAGAACTCTACTGTTGCATGGTAGCATTGCGAACTGTCCAAACAAGGCAGGATTGATTCGAAGAACATCTCATTTATTGATATCAGATTCATCTGCACATTGTTTCATTTCTAACTAGGTTTCTGCAGCGTTGTGGAAATGTCATGACAGAGGAAGAACTTAGTTGCAGTACAGAAAAATCATCCAACGTCATGAAACATGGAAATGCAATTGTCAATGCACTTGATCATGGGTATAGTGATTCATGATCAACAACGATGATTCAAAGTCATCTATCCTAGCAGGTAAAGAAATCCTTTGTGCAAACGTCTCTTCATGCATCATTGAACGGTTGAGCATGTAAAGCTTTCTCTATAGAAAAGTGAGGTGCATGAATCCTGACCGTAAGATTAGAAGAATTGAAAGTGAGTGATGACATGAGAACACATATCTAGACAGCAAAGTCGCTTAAGGTACAGTTTGATACAAATTTCTCACAAATCATGCATTTGAGCTCAACGTTCAACCTACGGCAATTTGAAAGAAGGGTCAATCAGAGTTGATTCTGTTCAATGGTGAATCTATCATTAGTTGCTTAGCTGTTCATGAAAATTTCATCTTGTCTTTGAGGAATATTTTCAAGTACACACGCGGATTGTTTGTACCTAGGGTGCATATATCAGTACACGATGGATGATTCAAACCTTGGCCCAACCTGCAGAGTTGAG